GATCAAAAAGAATAATCATATTGAAAATATTTGATAAATGTGTAATAAACACTTTGCTTCTACTGGTTTTTTTTTTTTTGAAAATTCTTCGTTCGTTCCGCTAAAGCGCTGCTTTCTCGGTTATTTCGAACAGGTTTTTCATAAAAAATGGCCACTGGATCAGCATAAATCGTAGCCTCCTGTGTTCCATCAGAATCTGAATCTGTAGCAGTAAATGCCCTCTCTTACTTTTTATCAAATTTCTCCGTAAAATGGAATTTGTCGCTCGTAAGTTTCATAGGATTCCATATCCGAAATGGTCATTCGATCAGCATAAATCATTTCTCTCGTTCGGCGAAATGTTTTCCAGTCAGAGCAGTGCACAAACAAAAGCCTTTTTCGTGTACTTTCAGGAAACAGCGCCAGCTTGCACGGAAAATCATCGTGGATCCTCTTCTCCTTATACTCCATCAAATTTCCGAGCGAGACAGAATTGGTACCAGTACACCCTCTTCCGTACATTCTATCAAATTTCATGCCAAAGTGGACATTTTATTGAGCCGAGGTCATTTCCTCTTTTGTCAGTCATCCGAAAATGTTCAGCCATGCACTGCGCGTTGCCTCCATCCAACATGAGGACTTTTTTGGAACAGCACAGAATAGCTCCCAAATTTCATCAAATTCCGCATCAGCAGCAGCACATGAATGCATCAGAGGCACGGGAATACCTACAGACGCGCTAAATCCAAGCCAATCGAAAGCTACAGCAAGCAGCAAATTCCCGTGGATCACGCGCGTTCGCCATTTTCGCTAGATTCCTTTCACTAAATCCGATCAGCGTCTGCTGATCCAAGGCTCTCTTCTGGCCTCCACGCACCGTCTTTGACTTTGTAGCCTCCCTTCCATTGCACCGGGAAATAACACCACCTTAACTTCTCAACATTTCTTCGCCACATTTCCGCTCGATGATTCGGTCCAATCCGTGCATTTTGAGCCGGCGTCACTGGCCATCAAAAAAAACCGAATTATCCGACCATTTAATCAAAACGCGGTGCTGGAAGTGGAAAGAAACGAAGCAGGAAGCAACCTGGCGAGGCAAACAAACGAAAAAAAATGAAATGTTGAACAAATTTGAACGTTTTTATACCATCTCCTTCCCATGAATCTAGTAATGTTTATACAAATTTGAAACGTGAAAATGAGCAAACGGAAAATCCAGAAATTTCTTTATTCAAAAGCTGTATGCGAATTTTTGTACAGCGCGAAAAATGCACAGAATTTTATGCAAATTTTTTTTTCCTGCTTCAAATCAAAATACGCCCAGGAAGCAATTAGTGTATGGGTATCCCATGTTAGTGATGTTAACATAATGCTCCAAATCGCCGGAAGTACC